CCACACAACTACTTTTACACTGAAGGGTATTTAATTTGGTGCACTCAATTTCCGATATCAGGCCACTAACCCTTGCGCACTTCTTCTTTTTCACATCATTTTTTAATAAAAACACACACACAGGCACACCCATTTGAACTAAGAACTAGCGCTTATCTGTGATAAACAAACAAATAAAAACCAATAAAGGTTTACAATCATTTGCAGTTGAACGTGTGGTAGAGGAACAACTGCAGGTAAGACCAACAAATTTTTCAGAAAAGTTCGCCATCATCAGGCGTTCAACTCCACCGGATCAAGTGGATTAGTGATGGTGGTAGTGGTGGTCAGCGAGGAGCGAAGGATACTCCTCGGTGAGGAGGTGTTGGTGGTGACGGTGGTCAAGTTGGAGCTTCGATGCTGATTCAGCTGAGGATGGCTGCCCTGAATGGCTTCAGCTGAGTTCCCAGTATGATGGACGTGGCCCTCATCAGCCGAGCTGCGACCACTATTTCCACCCGTGCCGCAGAGGGCGTTGCAGATGAATCGCTCTCGCAGGAAGAAGTAGTAAATGGAGGCCACTAGAATGAGCACCAGCAGGCTGATGAAGATGTTGAACATGTAGTAGGGCACGTCCATCTGCGCCTTCGTCGCCTCCAGCTCCTCCTGTTTGCTGGTCCTACTGTGCAAGGGAAAGGTAAACTCGGAGAGGTTCGCTGTGATAGTTGTCATGACTTTAGATGATGAGATTTGAGGTGTGGTGAGTGATTGATTCACAGTTATGATTAGTCAGTCTTCTGATTTTATATACGCTGAAATAATTTCAAGTCAAATCTGTGCACTGAAATCTCAATTTTTGGTTTTGCAAGGCAAGCTAATTTCAGTAAATGAAAATAGTAGGTGAAAGGGAAATGATTGTTCTTCTCTCTTCCAGGCTTGGTGAACATATTTTAATTTTAGAGTTTGAGTAAATCAAGATTGATCAAATAGTGATGTCATTTAAAAAAAGTTGTGCTCCCTTTTTGTATCATTCAAAAATCTTAAACAGAAGAAAAAAGCCCGATTGCACAGCACACAGATGAACACAGATGTAATAGTGGAAAAATGTAATAAATGTAATAAATCAAAACTGAAGAGAAAAACAGCTTTGCGGTGATTGTTGACGCGTTGTTTAGTTAACCTCACTGTGTTAGCTCAGTAACGAAAAAGTGAGATTTTACTAAATCGAAAAATAATTTCGGCATTGTAAAAGAACTTGGCAAAACTCAAACCACTCTTAGAGAACCGAGCTTTTCAAAATCAGTCGGTGTGTTGGGGATCATTTTTTCCTGGCGGCAGATAAACTGCTCTCCGGAAGGCACTTCCGAAGTAGAGGGCGTTCTGCTGACTCCTTCGGCTGAACTCCCAAACTNGCTTTGAGTAAATCAAGATTGATCAAATAATGATGTCATTTAAAAAAAGTTGTGCTCTCTTTTTGTATCATCCAAAAATCTTAAACAGAAGAAAAAAGCCCGATTGCACAGCACACAGATGAACACAGATGTAATAGAGGAAAAAATGTAATAAATGCAATAAATCAAAACTGAAGAGAAAAACAGCTTTGCGGTGATTGTTGACGCTTTGTTTAGTTAACCTCAGTGAGCTAACACAGTGAGGTTACCTCACTGTGTTAGCTCAGTAACGAAAAAGTGAGATTTTACTGAATCGAAAAATAATTTCGGCATTGTAAAAGAACTTGGCAAAACTCAAACCACTTTTAGGCAACCAAAGCTTTTAAGTTCAGTCGGTGTGTTGGGGATAATTTTTTCCTGGCGGCAAATAAACTGCTCTCCGGAAGGCACTTCCGAAGTGGAGGGCGTTCTGCTGACTCCTTCGGCTGAACTCCCAAACTCCTGCTGCACCGAGGAGATGGGCATTGAGGAGACGGAGACGGAGTTTGGCTCGAGGTAGGAGATAAACACCGGTCGAGGCCGGCTGGAAAAGAAGTTCGAGTGGGCGATCAAGTAGAGAAGGCACTTGAAGAGCCCGGCAAGGACGAGAAAGATGATCACCACAAAAAGAAGGCCGTACAGAAGGTCGACGATGAACTCCATTTTTATGATTAAATTTTTCAGTTTTGACTCAAACACTTTTGATCACATTTTTTCAAGTTTTTAAAATGCAAAGTTTTTGGGTAAAAGTGTTTTGCAAAAAGGACACCAAAAACCTCTGTGATTTTTGCTTTGAAAAATTTACATTTTGCCTGCTTGATTAAAATTTTCCCCTTCTTTTTCTCTCTTTAATTTTGTGTTTAGAGTAACCTTTCCACTTGCTACTGCCAAGAATAGCAACAGAATTTACCACTGTAATTTGGCGGTCTCAAGTGTTATGTGTGTGCTTGTGTTTGTGCTGTGAATGTAAATTGTTTATGTTTCACTTCTGTGCTGGTGCTGTAAATTCATGTGTGCTCAAATTGTTTCAATCTGCCATGTTCAACAAAAAAAAAGGAGCTAGATTTTTGCAGTGTTTATTTAACCTATTCAGAAAATTTTATTTTTGTGTTAAAATTTGAATTTATGCTTTCCAAAATAATCTTAGCCATAGCAACCCTTTATCAGATTGTTACTTTGGAAATTATCAAAACAATGTGAAACTTAAACGGAACAGTAAAGTAAAAAACCATCACCAAGACAACATAGTGATAAGATTGACCAAAACGGAACAATCTCGATCACTGCATCTCCTGTTGCGATGCGCAATCACTATATTTTCTGTCTAACACTCAGAACTCTTATTACAAGCTTTAAACAAACAGCCAACTTCCCCACCCAACAATCACATACTACCTGCAACCAAATACCATCCCAGAAGTTTGCAACCAGATCTTCAACAAAATCACCACCACCATGAAGCTTCAACTACTTTTTCTCGCCGTCACCGTTTCAGCTGTCCTAGCAACTGACAAGAAGGAAATCGAAAAAGAACAACAGCAGCAGCAGCAGTCACCGAACTTTGTCGATTTCAACCAGAAACTGCTGGAACGGTCTTTTGATCTGCAGGCAGCCGCCGCCCCTGCTCTGAAATACCTGAACGATGCAAAGCTCGCCTCAGACCGGAAAGACCTGGTGGACAACCTCGCCGAGATGAGCGCCCTCGTCTCCGAGATGCGAACCGACGCCTTCCGCGAGCGCCCCCTCTACCAGATGGAGACCCGGCTGCTCGCCAATGAAAGGGCGGTCATCTACGAGGTTCGAGGCGCCTTGCTGAAGCGCAGCAAGGCACTTCTTGAAGAGGCAAAAAAGACGTCCAAAAATCAAGCCAACTACAGTCGAATTCACGAGCAGGAGATGATCATCGAGGACCTGCAGAGTAAGCTGTCGCAGGAGGAGGACGAGGTGCGGTACATTCCGCTGATTCGCCTCCTTGGCGAGCACCAGAACAAACTGGAGGTGCTGCTCAAGGCGGCCAAGTTTGCCTAAGTAGACCAAGCCTTCACAACTGTTTTACGAAATCTTTGATAATAAAGTTCAGTTCCAACATTTTTGAAAAGTCTGATCAGTTTATCTGAAAAAATGTCAGTTGTTGGCATGCGCCCTCATCGTCGCCTCAATCCACGCCAGCTGCTTCACTACATTAACAAACATCGAGGGCGCATTTGACTCGCAAATCTTCGGCCCAAATGAGTCGACGCCCACCAGAATCCACTGGTTAGGATTAGAACTACTGCGGCAGCCCAGATCACCCCCCGAATCACCCCTACAGGTGTGGTGATCGCGGTAGCCGGCGCAGATGTTCGCATCCGTCAGCGGGTGCTTATGAGGGCCTCGAAGGTGATTGCACTCGGCGGCGCTCAGCAGCTGCACGTCGGCGTACTTCAGCGGACCGTGGTTTTTCTCATCTGAGAAGGTTTAAAGAAGGGGGTTAAAATCGTATCATCTTAAAGCAATCCCTCTACTCACTAGTGTGCACCCTGCCCCAGCCGGCAATCTGGCAGTCACTCTTGCTGACCACCATCTGCTCAGAGGGCAAACAGATGGGCGCAATCTGCCCTCGGTGGACCTCGAAATCAACCGGCTCCTTTAGCTTGATCAGCGTCAGATCGTTCTCCACCACCAGACTGCCCTCCAGGTGCTTCAGCGCAAAGTGCTCGTGAACGTAAACGCCGGCAATTTCAGGAATCAGGCGGCCCGTCTCTTGGGCGTTGGAGAGGTTGGTCGCGCCGAGGATGACCTGCGTCGCACTGAGGTTCATGTGGTAGCCCTCTAAGGCGTGCGCCTCGGGCGTCACTGCGCAGTGGCCGGCGGTGAGGACCCACCGGTCGCTGATCAGCGATCCGCCGCAGTAAAAGTGCAGTCGGGAGGTGATGGCCGAGGAAGTTCCATGGCTTACCTTCACCGCCTCAGTATTCACTCGAACCATCCAGGGCAGTTGGTGAGGTTTTGCCTCGTGGCCGCCAACGATTCGACGATTTGAGGGCGAAGTAACTGCGCTGATGCCGCATTGAACACTGGCTGCATCAGATGAAGCAACTAAAAAGGCGGTCAACAGGGTGAAACGTAAAAGCAAACGAGTGATGATGGCCATTTTGGAAGCTAATGTCTTTGTGGCAACTAAATGCGGTGCTCACTTTTATTTATATATTTAGGCGTCAAAATCAAAGGACTTCCAACTGTAAATGCTAAAGCTGCCAGCATCTGATCTAATCATCAAGGATGTCAGATGTAGTTGGCATTCTTTTCCCCTATCAAGGGTAGTAAGGTGTTAGGGGAAAAGAGGGATAAGGAGTACATCTCAACCAGCACAAGTTAACACTGGTTTACTACATGCTTTGGTTTGCAACTTCATTACCTTCATCAAGTGAAAAACTAATTTCACAGATGAAAAAAAGTTGTCCAGTCTGATGTACACTGACTTTTGGCATTTTGAGCTCCTCCAGTGGTCGCAAAAGTGCTGCGTTAATAAGCTTCGACAATCACAGCCAAACAGCTTCAGACACCAATTAAAAATGGAAATGGAAAAACTACAAATGGCAAAGGGGATCATCACTGTTCAGAGGTACAACAACAACATACAAGCGCTTGAGCGTTGGTGATAATTAACTGATGGCAGTGGTAATAGTTCTTCTTTCAGCATTCTACCGCCAACCAAACTCAATTGCCCGTGTCGATCGTCTACATCATGATGTTCACTACTAGCGCTTTGATATGTAGCTAGACATTTCGCATCATCGTTGCTGGGAGCAAGCTGACAATTTTATTTTTTTTACCTCAAAGTTCCGCCTACAAAAGTTGGCTATAAAAGGTCGGGNGTGGAAATGGAAAAATTACAAATGGCAAAGGGGATCATCATCACTGTTCAGAGGTACAACAACAACATACAAACGCTTGAGCGTTGGTGATAATTAACTGATGGTAGTGATAATAGTTCTTCTTTCGGCATTCTACCGACAACCAAACTCAATTGCCCGTGTCGATCGTCTACATCATGATGTTCACTACTAGCGCTTTTGATATGTAGCCAGACATTTCGCATCATCGTTGCTGGGAGCAAGCTGACAATATTTATTTTTTTACCTCAAAGTTCCGCCTACAAAAGTTGGCTATAAAAGGTCGGGCACCGACAGCATCTGCGGCCAGATACAAAATCAAATCAACAGACTTCAAACTGCTAAAACTTGTGGAAAATCAACACGAAAACTCCCCAACATGAACACAGTTCTCCTAAAGGCTCTGCTTTTCAGCATCCTTCTTCTTAACGTGACCTCGGGCGACGAAGAGGCGGCTGACACCACTAAAGTCACGACCTCCAGCACAGCCATCATGAGCCCAACTATNAACGTGACCTCGGGCGACGAAGAGGCGGCTGACACCACTAAAGTCACGACCTCCAGCACAGCCATCATGAGCCCAACTATCAACGTCAACTTCACTCTCTCCGGCAACACCTCAACTTCGACCACCGACCACTACCACCACTACATTGACAACCGATCCTCTCTGAAATCCTCTCCTCTGGACGCCGATTTCTCAAAGAAATGCTCTCCAGTTCGCGGCGGAAAAAGCCTGGTCATCCCTGTATGGGTTATCTGCGTGTTCCATTTTCTTTGCGGCTTTCTAGTGGGCATCGTCTTCATTGTCTCGGTCTTTGCCGTTAAGCTGTTCAAGCGATACTGCAGTGGATCAACTGGCCGCTTCAACCAACAGGTGGGCGAGAACGACGAGGCTGGCGGCAATGGCAGCAACTCACGACGACAATCGAGCGAGTTCTCATTCTTCAAGTATGTCAACTGGGATGACAAATGGAACAAGAATGGAAACAACAGCAGTGGTAATGGTAATGGTAATGGTAATTCACCTACCTCAATGCCGACGAGCCCGCAGCAAGAGCTGCAGTTGGAGCAGTTTGTGCTTTCATTGAAGAAGTTGGCAGAAGCTCGCGCAAAGAAGACGAAGGAAGAAGAGAAGGCGGCGAAGAAGATTGAGGTCTTTGTCGAGGTTCACCAGCCATTTCAGCCGTTTCAGCCGTCGTTAGAGAACATCGAGGAGACCCGTCTGGAGGACATCGTTGTAGAAGACCGTTGATCATCTCTTGCTGAGTTCACCACATTCATTTGTACAACCATTTCACACAATGTAGTATTACACACAGACGATAAGACGAGACGAGATGAGATCACAAACACAAACAGAAC